ATGGTTGGAAAGAAACCTCAAGATAAACACTGAAGGGTCTCAGTCTAGACTAGGAAGTAATGCAGGGTCTAAGGTGTGCCATACTGTCACTGTCCTGGGATGACCAAGGAGCTTTTTGCTCCGTACCTGAAATTAACTTCCAGAGAGTTCTAGCCGATCACACTCCTCCTCAGTTAAACATGATGCTGCTGCCAAGCAGAAGAATCTCCATGAAGATTCTGTTTTTCTTTCTATCCTTACTTCCACCCTTCCCTTATTTATTTCAAAAAGCTAAAGGTTCAAGATGCTCTGTGTTTATTGGCTATGCATGCAAAGGGTCCCTGGATGTTTCTGGAAGCAGTGAAAGCGTGCTCCTGCACTAGAAGATAGAACAGCCACTTCAAATTTGGCACATGGGGAAAAAAAGAAAATCAAGTTCTGGTAGGCTAGCTGAAATTTTGCTTCCTTTCCTTGGCAGGCTCAAAAGCTATCTATCCGAAAGTCAAAATAGCTATTTCTTGACAAGGCTAAAAGCTTTAAAATGTGCCTTTTTTCTCCTGATTTCAAGTTCTCTATATTCAGACTTATTTTACATCTTATATTTTTTCAACAAAGCACTCCAAAATATGTCTTGATTCTATTGGCCAAAATACTACACAAACTAATGCAAAAATAAAAAAAAAGTTCTCTGAACAGAGAGGATCCAAAGATCACAGAACAAGCAGTGAGCTGTTACCTTCATTTTGCTTTTTTGATATCTGATTTTGCAGAAGACAAACAGGGTGCTGTGAAGTTCTCAAAAGTGTTTAGGAAAATTCCTCTAATGCTTAGGTGGGTTTTTAGATGATGAGAGCCATAGTTGTAACTCCCTCAACTGCACTTAGTATGTAAAAGATGCAGGTGACCTCAAAGCCCCCAGGTGTTATGAACCAGGTTAGATAAGGTACTGTGGGTGCCTTTCTCGTGTGTATCAATAGAAGTTTTTTGAGTCATGCCCATTCCACTGTTTTCTTTTTAATGATGAGCTGCACCATCTAGAATAGTGTTGTCTGCTAGAAATAGACTGTGAGCCATATATGTAATTTTAAGTTTTCTAACAGTCATGCTTTTCAAAGGTATAAAGAAATAGGTGAAGTTCATTACATTTCATTTAACACAATATATCCAAAATATTATCAGTTCAACATATAATCAATATAAGTGAATGTGGTTACATTTTCTTTTTCTGGACAAAGTTTCTAAAATCAGGTGTGTCTTCTACACTTAGAGCACATCTCAGTTTAGACGAGCCACATTTCAAGTACTCAGTAGCTACATGTAACTAGAGGCTATGATAATGGACAGCACAGATTATTCTTCCTTTCTACTTACTTAACTAAATCCTCCTTAATTAAACTTCAAGGTTCATTCAAATCCTGGGCTTAATGTAGCCCTGTGTTCAGAGTATTTATGATTAATAAGTAGTTGACAACTCAGTGAATAAGTGTTTCTGGCTTATGGAGGTCCCTGGCACAACTTCCCATGAAATATCTGGCTAAATATTATATTTAGTACTTAAGACCCAGCCAGCTCTTCACTGGTCCCAGGCACGGTGTTAAGTGTTTTACAAGACATTATTTTATTCATCTTTGTGACTAGCCTGTGAGGTCTGATGGTGCTCATTTTACAGACGAGAAAACTGAGTCTTAGTTAAGTAGCCTCTCCAGAGGCATACTGCCACTGAGAAGCAGCGTCAAGATTCAAGTCCAGGCGGCCTGATCACCAAGTTCTGGCGCATGCTAGCCATCATGCTCTTTCAGTATTCACATGGCTCGAGGAGAGCTCACAATACCCAATTTCATTGGTTTCTAATTTAACATGATATAAAAACAGAGGTTAAGAGGCCTGGAGGCAGTAGTAATGAGAGTATCCAAGTGGGGAAAGAAGATCTAGTCCAGGACATCCAGAATGTCCATTTATTTTCCTGACACAGAAGGACATAATGCATCTCTCTCTCTCTCTCGAGCAGACAGTGAAGAATTAACTACATGGGCTTGATTTAACCTACCTGGGTAGTTACAGGAAAGTAAGTCCCTGGAAGGTGCTTTAAGGGATATGAAAAAAATGGATGCATCTAGTAGTAGGGTGCAGTTAGGTCTGTTATCACCAGTAGAACCGTTACCATCAAAATAATCATCCCCAAATGAAAGCATATGATGGTACTTCGATGCATCAAAAATTTAATTAAGTAAGAAAATTTTGTTTGATTGTAAAGAGGGAATTGAGGCAGTTTAATCAATGGCATAATTAATAATTATACAAGCTAGCTATTGCTTGATCTCCTGCACTTTTGCTTTCATTTAGAACAATTCTTTTAATTCTCACTGTCTATTTACCAATCTCCTCCCCCTTTCCCCCCTCTGCCTCCTTTTCCAATATATGAACATGCATAGAATAAGCATCACTGTGTAAGTTTCTGAGGCTATGGCTGAGGAGGGCAGTTAAGACAAGCTTCTTTCACTTTTATACCTTTTCTTAAGCCTGGTCTTGCATCATTGGTAATTTAAAGTGGAATTAACTGACTAGCTTATAATAGCATCATTTAAAAAACGTTAGGTTTAGAAGATAAAGTTTTTCACCAAAATCATGAAGCCAGTTGGTCCGCATTGAAGTCAATGATAATGTAGCACTGACAGTTTATACACTGTCATTAAATTCCTTCTTCCTAATGTTTTTTTTATCATGAGTTGTTATATGGGCTTTCTTATACTTTTTCATCTAGCCTCTGATTTTATAGAGCTTAAAAATGAAATTTTTAATGAAGTTTTTCTTTTTTTTTTAAATTCCTAGACCTCAGCATTCGTGTTCCCAGCACACTGGATTGAGTGCTACTACAGATACCCGTTGAGAGCATGTTCCGAAAGGGCAGGATGTGATTTTTCTAAAGGACTTGATAAGGCAGGACTTGGGTTACTTCATGCCCTGATGCCAGATCACTGACAACCATAACAAAACCCAGCAAGATGGCGGACTGCCCCAGAGGTACGATTTTGTTGTTCATCTACTCATTCTTCCCTTATTTGTTTGCTCCACAAGCACATCTTTAGCTCCTGCTAGCGCTGGAGACAGACATGTTCCCATTACTGGAGAAGTCACTGTGTTGCAGGAAACTGATGTACAATGAACAGTCAGTATCACACAGCAAGTAAAACCCAGAACGAGAGTTAATGATCACCATTCACTGAACAAAGCACATACTACTCTATTCCTCCATGTCTTGCTTAAAAGGGTCCAAAAGCCCCTTTATCATGGGTCAGGGCCATGGCCCCACCACCCTGAGGCTACAGCTCCAGACACATGCAGTGATGCATTTGATCAACTGCTCTTGAAAAAAGTATTAAAAAAAATCCATAATGTCTTCTCATCAGGCCCAGCCCTGCCTTCTCTGCCATTAGCTCTCCTTTATTTGACACTGTGGATCTGTCTAACCTTTCAGGGGTTCAGTCCTTATTTCTATGTTTAGTTTTATTCTCTGTTAAAGGAAAACTCACTGAGAAGTTCTGAACCCTGGCTGCATACTAGGTTAACTTGGGAAGCTTAAAAGCAGACCTATGCCAGGACCTCCCCCCGGAAATTATGTTTCAAGTGGTCTCCAGGGTGGCCCTGGTTCCTACCTTTTTCTTTCCTTTCAATTTTATCATCATATAATTGACATACAGTGCCGTGTACATTTAAGGTGAACAGTATAATGACTAGACTTACATATACTGTGAAGTGGCTACCACAGTAAGTTTCATTTCCAATGCTCCCTCAGTGATTCCAGAAGACGGCCAGGATTCTAAAACACTGCTCCACTCGGTGATCATGAAGCCTGAGGAGCAAACTCGGGTGAAAGCACAGACTTCCCTTGGCTTCCTTGCACAACCCTAGGGAGGAACGAGCCTTCTCCCCCAGGGAGAGTTGTGGAGCAGAATATCTGGGTGAGAGGCAGAGGAGAGGCCAGAGGAAAGAGGCTCTGTTTGTCAAATAATAGCATAAGGCAGCCACCGCAGCGGGAGGTGGAGAAATCTCCAACCACCGGAAGAAAATGTGAAACAGTAAGGAGGTTTGAAATAAACACACGAGAGCTGGGAATGTTCTGCCTGAAGGTTGAGAAACAGGTAACCAGTGACATAACTGGTGGACATTCAATCAAGAGATCTGGGGCCTGTTCATTCTATTTCTGAGCTTCCACGATGGATGGTGGAGCAAGCTTACAGTCATCTGGGATCAGAATCAGGAGTCGTGTGGCTCTTCTACAACAAAGACCGAGCTGGGGAAGGTCATGTTCATCAGCCTCAAATATCACGGACCTGAAAATCCTGGCTTCCTTTGTAACATGATGAATTTGTTAAACATAAAAGTACCTAAAAGTTTAACGACTGATTCCCATTTCCAGCCAGGACCACCACTGTAGGTAGAAAGAAGGAGAGATCCAGGTGATAATTTGTGCACACTGGGACTGTCTGCAGCCAATAATGAGAATTCAAAGAAGACAAAATGATCTACATAAGTTGGGTAATGAATTTAATACCGTCTAAAGCTGGCCCTGGAAATGCTTTCTTTGGGCATTCATCCTCTAAAGGCATGAAGGGTGTTTTTATTTGGAGTTTTTCCATTTGGGGATGGGAAATGGTACAACGGAGTAGAAGTTCCAGGCTCTTTCAGAATAACCGTGTGTCTGAGCAGGTTCCAAACTCTCCAATATCACTCCTTCAATTGTAAGATGAAAGAAATGGCATCGAAGGGTTTCTGAGTTTCTTCTAGAAGCTATAAAAAGCTATGAATTGATTGAAATTGAATTTCACAGGAGTTAGGGGGCATTGCTGCGTTGTAGTTCGTTTTTTTTTTAATTTAAGAGGCAGAAATTAGACAGTAGTTAAGATTTTAAGGCTGAGTTAAAAATATAGGTGTTTGCCTTATACAAGCAAATGGAATCATTAGAAGCAGTTATTAAGAGAAGAACTCAGCTTCTACAAAAGGATTTTCTGGGGCTGTGAAAGAGATTGTGACGTGGTTATTTTGGAGAGAGACCAAACAATTAGACCAAACAATTGTGAAACTTGGTGGCCAGAGCCCTGGGTAGAAATAGCTTCTAGGGATTAAAGAGCAAAAAGGCTTAATTTCACCACGGTTTATCAATACTTTGCAAGTTTCCATATACTTACCAGGGAAAACCTTGGGGTGTTTACTCTAGTTTTAGCGTAATGTGAAAGATAAAAATGGAAGGGGGTAAAAAAAAGACGAGATGACAGAACAGGTTCTGACACATTTCAAAGCTCATAGGATCTTAAATGATCCCTCACAGAATCTCTAATTACTACTGTGAGGAAAAGAGTAATGATTCTAACAATAGCAAATGAACACAGGTGATAATCTGTGCCAATTGCTTTCCATTATTTTTTCACTCAGTCTTCACAACTATATGACATTGGCATTATGATTATCCCATTTTGCAGATGAGAACACAAAGGCCCAAGTCTCAGGGTTGGTAAGAGGAGAAACAAGGAAGCACCCACCCACAGTCCTTCCAGTTTTTACTTCTGTTTACTCCTCACTCCACAGCTGGTGTTCTCCTCCTCCTTCTTCTTTTTAATATTCCCCTCAAGTACCTTCAAATCTGGTGTCTAGTTGGCTTTGCAGCCCCTACTCTACTTTTGTTCCTCACTGTTTTCATACAAGGTTGATGGCAAGTCCTTGGTGACCTGTAGGTTTAATAGTCTTTTCGTCAAATGCATAACAGTGCAACTCAACTGTTAAATGACATTTATACATGAAGGAGATGAGAGAAGAGGAACTTGAGGTCTTCCAAGACTTTCAAGATTTAGCTACTTTGAAAGGACAGTAAGAGAAAGGGAGGGAGAGAGACAGAGAGAGAGAGTGTGTCTCTGAGCTCAACCAGGAGCACTGGGGCACATCTTTGCTGTTAGCAGCATGAGCAACACCGCACACATTTCTGCCTTCTAGGTCCTTCTCTGCTTCCTCCCGTCTCCCAGCCCACACACATGCTTACGATCAGCTAATAGGATCATCTGATGGAAAAGAGTGACGTGATTACATCCCTCTGGGTGGACTGATAGCTCTAATTTCCCTACAAAAAGATCTATTCAGAAGGAGGAGGAAAAACGTTGTTTACAAAAGCAATGAACTAAGCTGTGAAATCCCTTAGTACAACTCGCCCAGCAAAAACAGATTAACTCTCTCGATACGGGCCAGTATGAAATACAGAGTTCATTTAGTGTAGGGGTAGGGCTATTCTTTGCAGCCTAGTTTAATCCAGTAAGGCTAATAAACACTGGGTTATTCCAGACCACACTATGCAGTAGACTTTTTCATCTTCACCTACCTCTGGTTATTGTTGGCAGAGACTGAGTCGAAGGCCTCACACAGGTCTATCACCTAGAGATGGTGGCAGGGAGGCTTTGGCTCTAGAATCACTATCAACCACGTCAAGCCACCCGAGTAAGAATGGCACTTTCAAAAGAACCGTGCGCTTACTCAGCAAAGGCAGCTTCCAGGTAAGAGCACCAACCATTCCTTCCCCTTCTAACCCAGTACTGCTCACGACGCCCTCCTGTAAGGGGGATGATTTTGGGAGGCAGGCATTTCAAGACTGGAAGATAGCGATTCAGCCTTAAGGCATGTCAGAGTTTGTCAGTGTCAGAAACGGATCAGCACCTGACTTTTGTGAACCCTTGCTCTTTCTTCTCCTTTGGCCACCTTGCTTGCTTTGAACTGAAATTAAGACCTGATCTTCTCTAATTTGAACTGTCACAACAAAAACTTCTCTGAGAGATCAAGAGATTTGACTTGACTTATGGAAGGGAGAACATTGTAGTTGTAAAGCGTGCCATCTTTGGCGTCAGAGAGAACTAGGTTACAGCCTTGCCTCTGCCCCTCAGTGGCTATGTGACCTTCGGCAAGTTGCTTAACCTCTCTGAGCTGCAGATTTCTAATATACAGTATAACAGGGATCGTAATATTCGCTACCATGATTTTGCCTGGTTGTGGGAAGGACTGACGAGATGAAGGATATAAAGCATTCAGTAAATGTCGTTGTCATGATTATAATCTCATTTAATCAAAATGAAAGGATTAGAACAAACTAGAGGAAAACACATCACTTCCACTGCTCACAATGGGTATGTGTTTGCAAGAAGATGTCTAATTTAGAGAAGCAGCTTGTTTGCTTGCTCTCGGTTAACTTAATACCTTTTAGTAGGTACATACTTGCTGTCATGAGCTGGACTTCAACCTCCTCGAGTGACAACCTCCTCTTCGTATAAATTGTCCTTTCACCTTAACTGGAACCAGAAGAGACAGGTACCATGTTCCCTGTTTTACAGAGACAGAGCTGCAGAGACCCCGCGTGACAGGCCCAAATTGGTGCCCAGAGTCAGACTGAACCCATGTCTTCTGATCTCACTGCTGTTGCCTCAGGTTCTCTGAACATCAGAAAACTCAACAGAAAGAGCTAGTTTTCACCGAGCTCGTGGATGTGCCAGGCAATGTCCTAATCAGTCAGATGTGTAAGCTTATAATCCTCACAAGCCCCTATGGATTTCTACTAGTCCCATTTCATAGATGAGAAAACTGGGGCAACTAGGAAATTAAGGAGCTTGCCCAAAGTGACACAACCAGTAGGCAGAAGGGTGCCAGGAATCAGACCATTTCTCTCTGAGGAAACAGATGCCACAGAGAAGACCCAGATTATAAAACACTTTTGGTCGAAGGCAGGCAGGTGGGAATTGGTCTACTCTGAATGCTTTGTTCACACAGACTCTTGTCTTTTCGCCTTTATCTTTCATACCCCAAATAAGGTTTTAGCCCTTTTCTGCATAGGGTGGGTACCAGCCTTTGCAGTGTACCTCCATCTTACAAAAGTAGCCAGATGCAAACCCGGTAGCACTAGAGGTGAGGAAATAAAACTGAAGACCGGGAGCCTTTCCCACTATCCCTGGTGAGATCTCGGCTGCAGAGAGAGATGCTCTTCGTTCAAGCCTGGGCTCCAAGTTCCCCAGGAGGACCCCACCGAATGCCTCAGGGGCCTCTGCTGTCAATCAGGCACACTGAGCTGAGTCACCAGGAAGATAATTCCTTCACTTTGATGGTAACCAAACCTAATCTTGATGATTCAGAATCTCTCCTAAGTTGAGCTATATTGCTTTAGAAACGCTTTCAAATTCTTTGACCACGGAAGGTGAGGGATGTGATATCTGCCCCCACCTACCTTCAATCAGGATTGAATGGGGAGAAGAAGCCTATCGGAGTCCAGCTTTGCCAGCAAACACAGACAAGCAGGCACCTCCCCGGGGATACCCAGCCTCACACCAAGCTTCAGGTATGACAAAGCACTCTGAGAGGGTTAGGCTTCTCCCATAAAAGGCTCGAGTGTGGAGCCTGTGCTATCCACCCAGACCGGACCCGGGGCCACTTAACACAAATGCTAAGATTTCGGACTCATACTGCCTGGACCAACACAACACACACAACAAAAGCTAGCATGTTTCTGGGCTTCCCAAAGAACTCTAGGAGGCTGAAAAGAGATGTCGAGGAGGGAGAGAAGGGACTATTTTAGTCCAACCTCAAATGGCTCCCCATCAACACAAACCATTAGACCACACTGTCTATTCTCCAATTGTACCTGAAACATTTTGAAAAAAATGATCTTCCTCATGCTAACCCAGTCATCAGGACCCTATTTGGATCCAAATTTTAACTTGATGTATTCTTTTATACACTTATTACTCTCTTTAATTAGATTAGAGTTGATTAGAATGAATGGCGTTCTTCATAGTTGTTTTTCCCTGCTGAGGGAATACAGTGTCATTAAAATTACACTGAAACCCCAATGCCAAGAAAGAAAAGTGGAACTGAATTATTTGACTGTCCCAGTAACATGAATTTATTTAACCTAGAAATCACAAATTAGAATGGGAAAGAAAATAATCCTTCGGAAAGAAATTCACCCATTATTCTCATCATCTAAACTCCTGCCATGACAAGTGTGGTCTATGGACTTGCAGGGGTTACATCACCTGGGAGGTGGTTAGAAATGTGGAGTCTTAAGTCCCAGTCCAGACTCATATCATTAGAACCTGCATTTCACAAGTTCCCCAGTGACTGACGACCATGCTAGAGTTTAAGCAGTCCTGGTCTATACTCTCTCTGAGTGCCTCTGTGCTGCGGTTATAGTCAGTGAACAGAAAGGTAAGTTCCCCATTACCACATCCCCCACATCGTGTGGGGATCTCCTTCAGTTAGTTATCCAGCATTTTCTAAATGCATTTATAATGGAGCCTGAATTTCCACAATAATTCAAGTTTTCTCACACTTGGATTAAGTCCAAGAACTCTTCCAAACCTGGACTTCAACAAGATTCAGATGGGTAACCAGGAATAGAGGACCCAGTAAGGTGATAATTTGCCCATAATTTGAAAAGTCAGGAATAAATGGATATATTCCAAACTTCAGAGAGCACCCATGTTTTTCAGTCTCACTCCCCTGCTTTTGACTTTAGAAGAGAGAGAGGGTGGGTGACCAGAATATAGACAGAACTTTTGTTAAGATGGCAGTGTCAGGCTGAGTGTGTTGTGCACTGCACAAGCCTAGGTGCCATGTTCATAGTGTTGTTAATGTATATTTTATCCATGAAATGACTAAGTATACATATTCTGAGCGATTTTGGCTTAGACTGTTTAACTGTGTTGCATGGGAATAACATGGTGACGCCCAGATGAAATGCCAACTTTACAGTTCAAAGAAATGACCCAGCAAAAGGGGCTCCCAAACTGAAAAAGAGAACACAGTCACCAGGGCCATGTGATGATCCTGCGTTGTCTTGAAGGGGAACACAGAGGAGCAGAATGCTCAGGTTGGAAAGACAGAATCCGCAGAAGATGTGCTGGCCAAATGGCTCCCCAACGATGTCCTCACTCTAATTCTTGCAACCTGAATCTCTTAAATTACATGGCAAAGAGACTTTTCAGATGAAATAATGTTATAAACTTTAGGGAGATCTTCCTTAACTGCCTGAAGGAATCAATCTCATCACGTAAGCCCTTAAAGGTGAATGTTCTCTGGCTACAGGCAGGAGCGATGAGGCAGAAGGAGAAGACAGAGAGACTTGAAGCATGAGAAGGAGTTGAGGTGCCATCGCTGGTCTGACGATGGAGGTGGGCATAAAGATGAGGGATGCAGGCAGCTTCCTGGGACAGCCTGCAAGGAAGCAGGGGCCCCAGCCCTATAGCCACAAGGAACCAACTTCTGCCAACAATCTGGAGGAGCATGGAAAGCAGATTCTTTCCCAGAATCTCCAGAAAGGAATGCAGCTCTGCTGACATCTTGGTCTCAACCTGAACAGAGAAATCACTCGACCCCCTGGACTTCTGACCCACAGATCTCTGAGATAATAAAATTTGCACTGTTTTTAAGTCAAGTTTATGGTAATTTATTTTGGCAGCAATAGGAAACCAATACAGAAGGGGTTAAATACAAACCCACTGAATTTAACTCATCTGAATTATTTCAAGGTGTAAACTACACGCAGAGGTTATGTTCAACAAAATACTGCCATAGTGGGGGGAGCCTGGGGGCGGTGATGAACACACCTTTGATCTCTAGCAGTTAATTCTGTCAATGGAATATTAAGCATGCCCATTAACAGCATTGATTCAGCTTTCTAATTAAATGCTTACTGATTAACTGTATGAATCGTCCCATAGCAACGGATTAGGCCAAATCATGATGTTATCACTGATGAACAAAAACATCCCTCACAACATGAGGTTGGCAACATCATACTTATTAGCTGCCTTGGCGGCTGGGCTGTGTCATCTGGGAGTGGCAGCAATGGACTGTGAATGACGTACGGTTCACAGAATTAGCATCCTAAAGCAGGGGTCAGCAAACATTTCCTGTAAATGGCACATGGTAAGTATTTTAAGCTTTGTGGACCAAACGGTCTCTTTTCCAACCCCTCAACTCTGCTGGTAGAGTGTGAAAGCAGCTAGAGATGATATGCAAATGAGTGAGTGGGGCCATGCACCCATAAAACTTTATTGGGACTGATATTTGAATTTCATGTAATTTTCACATGTCATGAAATATTCCTTTCCTTTTGATTTTTTTCAATGCTTTAAATATGTGAAAACCATTCTTGGCTTGGAGGCCATATAGAACAAGGCAGTGGGTTGACTGACTCGGCTCTAAAATTAAGGTTGTACTTGCCCAAAGTAAGTACCGGCATACGGCTGAGGACCAGGACCGACTGACAACTCCCACAGGCCATTCTGAATAATATGGAAAGCAACTCCCTAAGAATATCTGCTTTCTAAAAGGAATGAAATGTTCATTTGTTAGAACTCTAATGTGGCAAAGGACATTTGTTCGCGTATTGATACCAATGTCTGACAACTGAACAATTTAATTACAGTGCTGTTACGAGTTGAATTACGTCCACCTCAAAAAGATATGTTGAAGCCCTAACCCCCTGTGCCTCACACTGCGACCTTATTTGGAAACAGGGT